CAAAGGTAAGTGGCGAATCAAACCAGCTCTGATACCAAATTGCAAGGAACATGAATATGGACGAAGCACAGAAATCCAGATTGCAAAATCACACTGAAGTCCAAGTAGTCAAAGCCGAAGCAGATAGCACAATGGTACCGAGTAACCATCCATTTGAGAATGATACAGAAGAATCGTGAGTCAATGTCCAAGCCCAACAGGGCAACACCAATATCATAACCCAATGTAGCTCTCTCTTGTGAATGGCGCCAGGCACCCTATCTACTCTACAGCCTAGGCCTACCACTACAGCAATGAAAGCAACCAGACAACTTGACTACCAGCGAGTGATGATGTCAACACCAATGCCGACCTCCACCTCCACCAGGTACATGTCCTCTTCACCCACACTCTCCCTTGTTAACCACACAGCGCCCTTCACCTCCGAAGAACCTCCTTCGCCCTCACCTCCCCTGCGCCCTATGCAGCCCGGATACGGCCGCCAGCGCCCAGTATGCAGGCAGCACCCTACCGCCTAGCGCTAGCCTGCCTCATCCTAGCGCATCGCAGCTCTGCACAACGCAACACCTCGCATTTGCGCAGTGTGCCCGCAATGCCTGCATTGGCCCATAATGCCTGCCCACTCGCTCTGCTTGCCTGTATGCCAGTGCTTGCGTGTGGGCAGCTTCCCTTCAGCCTGCAACTGGGCCCAAGTGCCTGAACCCAGGCCTGATGCAGTTGGGGCCTGGATGATGCAGTTGCGCCTCTTTCCTCAAGGCCTGCCGCCAGATTCAGATAGTGGGCCGATTTCCCTTTGGCATTTTCGGCCTCTATACCCAGCATGCATTGTCGGCCTCACGTTCAAGTGCCTAGGGCCTAACGAACTTAGAGGCCCTGGGTTCTCCACATTTGGAGAGATTTCAGACTCGGTGCACACCAACCAACTGGCGTGCTGCAACTGTATGGACCCCACTTCGGGAAATGTTTGCACAGAGGGCTCTTGTTGATTTGCTGGCCCGCCTTCACTTAGGGCGGGCACTAGGCTTGTTGGGGCCTTAGCCCAAAACATGTACATCATGGCAAGGCCCCTTCTTGAGGGCTCAATCCTCACACTTACGAGGTATATACCTCTTTTCTTCTTTCCTGTCCCTCTCACCGTCTATGCCAATGCAGAAGGGGGGGAACTCAAGACACGTGGTCAGATAGGTGCAAGAAGGCAGACCTTAGCAGGCCTTCTTCGCCAGTTGCTCGGCGAAATATACGGTGTCGGACCAGAAGCTGAACGGTTGGTGCATGGACAGTTCAATCTGCGCGCTGCAGCAAGAAAACTAGAAAATGCGAACATAGTCGTTGCAATGCTGGAAACCGGAAAGAGTCGAGGAACTCATCAAGCAAGGGCGAATGACCCTTGACCGTTATGTAGCCGAGAACCTGGAAAAGATGGACCAAAGAAGGAAAGAAAAGGAACAAGAAATAGAGGAAAGAAAGGCAAAACCAAAATTGTCTATAGAGATCATGGAGGAAAATGTCACGCAATTAGAAAACATGTTGAAGGAAGAGAGAAGGAAGAATGAAGAATTCCTGAGAAAGCAAAGAGAGCAAGAACAAGAAGAGAGAATGATGGATGAACCTAGGCAGAGGTTCCACTACGAAGAAGCAGACACCGAACTTGCATCCATTCTACAGTCTATAATGGTTTATCTTGTCCACCTGGAAAAGAAAATAGATAGCTACACTGCCTCACTGAGACAGTGACCAGACTTTTGAAAGGCAAGGATAGGTAAGGATCGAGGAGGAGACCAGGGGGAAGGAAGTAAAGAGAGAACCCCAAGAGAAACTTATGAAGGATGCAATGAAGAGGGTCACGCAGGAGAAATCCGAAGGTTCCAAGAAGGAACCAGAAAAGTCGGCAGAGAAGAAAGAAGACCCCACCATAAACGAAAAATCGGCCAAGGAAGTCGAAAAATTGAAGAGGAAAGAAAAGGTGAAAATGAAATTGTCGTTCACCTACATCAATAAGAAGGAAAAAAATCATTATTGTAGATTGCTGAAATCCATACCTATGGCAGCACTGCTCCTGTTGAGCCTGAAAGTCAGGTGGCCTTCTCTACGTCATGTTTGGGAGGAGTGGCCAAGGCGTGGGTACTCTCTGAAGCTAACGTCGCTGGCTTCGAGGACATTGGTGAGTGGGCTAAGACGATGACCAATAAGGCCTTGGATGAACGCACCACTATAGGCCAAAAGTGTTGATCGTATGTGGATGCTTTGTCATGTGAAGTAGACCGTCTGTTGCAGGTACATGGGTTGAACTTACAGGGCAACCAAGTTTTGTATATCTATTTACGTGCTTTGCCCGAGCCCATTCGCAGACAGCTCATGGTTGAGGCCAAGTCTGGGAACTACAACTATAGCCTATAGGCAATTTTGCGACCTTGCTCTCCAACAAGAGCAGATGACCGCTCAAGTAAAGGGCACATATGCTTCGGTGGTAAAGTCTGGACCGGTTGGTGGGTACGGCAAGCGGATCCTTTGGCGGCGAAGGACCACATGCTCGTCGTCTTTGACGATGAGCCCGTTGAGAAGTTACCCCTCGACGAGCCCGAGGGAGGAGGAGGTAATGGCGACAGCGAGTCTGGGAAAGGTGACGTCGCTGCCGTAGTGGCCAACAAGGGCGGCCCAAGTCTATGGAAGAAGAAGAGGAGGCCACGCTCGTTTCCCGCGCATCATGCATCACATACAGGAAGCGCTGGGAAAAGATGGGAATGACACATGAGGAGTGGCAGTCCAAGATGGGCAATTGCAAATGCCTGAAGTGTGGAACCATGGGCCACGTGATAGCCTGGTGTCCCTTGATCCGGAACCCAAAAGCGAGCAACCAGTAGG